CTGTTCTTCATTAGCTCAGAAGCTGGACAGTGGACTGCTAAATGCCTGTTGTTCTGTAAATAGGTTGGGACTAAAATACACGAGAGAGATTTCAGCTGTATGGGATGGATACCACTGACACATTTAAAGCAATATACCCTGTAGTTACAGTTTGAGTATTATCCATGAAAAGGAAGGTGTTTTCTTTATCCACTTTCCACTTTCTATGGAATTACAGTTATAGGCACATGTTCTGGAGTTGTTTTTTGTCTCACATGTTAATGTTTGCTGTCCTGTGAAGTTGCTTCTGATTACAGAACGTTGGATGCAACGGTAATAACTCCATGGTCACTGAAGTCAGTGACTAACAGAGAGGTGATCCTTCAGTGTTTTACCTCTGCAGATCACTGTGTGGTAGAGAATGAGGCTGTGAAGACCATTCCTCTCTTCCAGGTTAAAACCCCCTGTCGCTATTTCGTTCTCAAAATGCTTCAGACTGCAGTTGCCTAAGAACATAATTTTGAGAATACGAACCCTGATAACTAGGCCTTGTGCACTAAAGGGAGATGCAGTAAGCCCACACAGCAGCTTCGCGCTGGGTAGAAAAAAGTTTGGACTTTATTCACCACACTTCCGGTTTTATGCAGGTATGCCTGGTGCATTGGGGAAATTGTTTACGAGCGATCAATCCTTGTGTGAAGATTGCCTTGTAATGCTGCTAAGGTCAGTGAGACCTTGGTTTATTTGCCACATAAGTGCTGCTTGAGCAACTTACGATACTCCAGCACCCATAGGAACAACCTTAACTTGCACACTAGGGGTTTTCCACATTTTAGGACTGTGGTTTCTTGCACGGCTTGCTCATTTGGTACAGATCATACAGTGGGGTGAACTAATCAGGGTTTCATCAGCATTATCCCCCTGCCTTTGATATAGCTTAAACACTTTACTGTAGTAGGTGTTTAGGATCATAAATAAATGTTCTTTCTGGTTTTCCACTACTCAAGCTAAGCTTCTAGAAGTTTTTGTAGTAGCAACCTGTTACTGCAAACTTGATCGTGCCATTCTTCTGTGGTAGCGCTTGCTGAAGTTGGATGTAATTCATGTGCAAAGTGTATGAGAATAACTATCAGTGACCTCTGTCAGGATTTGCTTTTCTGGTGTGATACTGGCTCTTGATTGAATCCCACTATAATTTCTGTTAAGACAGATAAGAACTCATGAGGAAATTCATCTCCCAACTAGTTTTGGGGGAGGCTGGGGGGTTGGCAGAGCCCTGTAGTCCAGTGGTTGGAATGCAGAATTAGGGTAGCAGGTCTTTGTTTTCAGTTTTGCTTCTTTCTGATACGTGACTTAGTCTGGGATTTAGTCTTTTCATCTGTAAAACTGGAATAATAATACTTGCAATTTGAGACTTACAATGTGCTTTGAGACCAACAGTGAAAAGCTCTCAGTAGTGTATTTATTACATTCTGTTTGTAGATGTTACAAGCAGTAGCTAGGAGAAATGCGAATAAAATGAAGGCAAACACGCTGATTTAAAACCTAACTGTTGAAGCCAGGCCTGAACTAGTAAAATAGTCACCCATGTGCCAATGCCTCTCTTCACGTAGCTCAGAATTAAATTTCAGGGTTCCAACTGCTGTAAAACAAAAAAAAAAAAAAAAGATTTCCAAGGTTATAACTGTTTAATGGGGGGAAAATGGCTAATTTCTGTCTCTTTAAATTTTGTGGTGGAGAAAATAAGGTGCTTTGATCTTTAAATGACAGCTTCCAGAGTCATTACATTGAATCAGTTAATCTCTCCCAGTAGTTACCTTATTCTCTCTTCCTCATGGGCATCCTCTTTCATGGTCTCAGTGCTGAGCTTCAAATCAATGAACAAACTGTTACTGCTTCCAACACAGCCTGCCTAGTGAGCTTTCCTGCTTTCATGCATTGCCAAGCTCTTACCTCAAACCTTGGCACATCAAAGTGGAGAATAGGTCCAGTAGTACCACATGTGTGTTAACGAGGCTGGCTCCATCGTTTTCATTTACACTCTATGGGTCAGGCAGTCCCTTGCCTCTTGACAAGAGAGGTTTGTCAGAGACTGCATGACCTGCTATTCCCAGGTGACATATGTAATTCAAAGCAGGTCAAGTGACACAGCAGTGACTCTGAGTATCCTTGGTCATCCCTTTATCTAGTTTAAAAAAATACTAACCAAAATGATAACTGATCTACATATCTTTGTATGAGATATCCATGCCCAGACAAAAATAAGTTGCATTCTGTGTTATCGTGCTGCTGACTGAATATTCTTTTTGTTCAGCCTAGTTTTCTTTTCTCTTAGGAAAAAAAAAAATTGAGAAATTTCCCAGTGTAAGCCCCACGAAGCATCTCTGTTATGTACAGTATGAGGGGTTTTTTTTCTGCTAGTGCCCAGCAAATGCTGTGAAGTAACACCAGGGAGTTTTTTCAAGTTTTACCAGCTAGTGCACATGCTATATAAAATTCAGGAGCTGAGGTTCTAGAGCAGCATCTGTTCTCCTGCCCATGTTATTAATCTGTCCCTTTATGTGAAGGGGTTACAGTATATGGTGAATCTTGTGCAAGTTCTATTAGAGTAATCTTGTGGTTTTAGACATAAAAGTTAGGCATCTAAAATGTAATGTAATTAAAAAATAACTCCTCCTCTCTTCCAGGAAATAAAACAAGATTTGGTAAAAGGTGAACGTTTTTAGACAATTTTGTTTTCTGAGAGGGTACTACCAGGAATTTTGAATTTTCCAGCATTTGACATATAGTTCTTTTATTAGAAGCCACCTTGCATTAAGCAACCAGTAAGAGGGGTTTTTTCACTGATAATGACAGATTAACTGTATTAATATTCCTAAAAAAGAGTTTGAATATATTATCTTTAGTCACACTTCACTGAGGCAGAATTTCAGGATAGGTGCTACACCTCAAAAAAGAATAACATAATTATGGTTGCAGAAATGTGTGTTTTGCTGTAGTATGTCAGACCTTAAAGTCTTCTGTGCTTCTTTCAGCAACTTCAAAGGTACATCCCTGAAAATAAAAGTGAACCATGCACATTCCCCTCTTTCTGTGACATATGCAGTGCATCCAGTGTGTGCACTATGGTAGCAACAAAAAGCATTAGGATTGGAAATTTCACCTGAAGTTTACTGACCTGAATGCTTTCTACCTGCACTTGAAAACAACATTTTCTGTTGTGTGTGCTAACCATCCATTCTTCCCTGCTTCCTAAGCTTATGGCTAGATCACACGAACTACTTCAAAATGAGAGTTTTGCTCAATGTCTGTGAGAATGGTGCAGAATCGATTCCTACCTTCTGTGAAATTTTGCATTGTTTTATCAATAGTATTGTCTTCATTTGTTTGATCGTGATTTGGGGCCAGAAGTAACAGAAACCTGAATACAGCACTTGATAATTAGCCAAAGCTAAGCCTTTCCTATGTGGGCACCAATAATCTTGTTTGTGCTGTCTTTACTCAAGATCACCCTGTTTCTAATTCTCTGTTTAATAGTATTCCAGATTCTGTTATCAAAATCCTTCAGCTTTCTCCAGTACTTTGCTGCCAGGTTTCTTGCAAGTCTGACAGCCTAAGAGGTCCTTCTGTACCTAAGATATAACATTTCCTAATCCCCAAGGGTCCTTTAAAAATCATTTTATAAATCAAGCTTCTCTGTTTCCATGGCCGTGTGTAATTGTGCATATACCTTTTTAAAGATACTTACTCTGGAGGCTGGAGAGAATTAAGGAAAAAGTTCAACTTAAGTATCTCGGTATTACTATTTAACACTTCAATATTACCTTTGTTCATTTTATTCTGCATGTACCTTCACCCAGGCTTTCTCCATTTCTGTGTTCTTTGCAATGTTGGATTCAATCCTTAATTATCCCATGCCTGGGAGGAAAAGAGACAACAATTGTTATAGATGAGTGGGTCAGTGGCAAGGAAAACAGTCCCAGGGATGAGCAAAGCAAAGCTGGTATATTTCATACACTGGGACTTCTAGGGGAGGAAGGATTGATAGATGCTGTTACACTACCTTTATGAAACTTTGAGATTCTTAATACAGTTACATGTCCTCGTTGTGTCAGTCTAAAGTCCCCTCTGTCATGATACCGTGGCAAAAAGCCTTAAAAAAGAATTGAAAACATCCTTGCACTTTATGGTACAATGATTTGAGTGTGATTCCTCACTGGAGCTGGTAAGAATAAATATATATAGAATAATACACTTAAAAAAAGAAAAACTTTAAAAAAAACCAACCCACCTAGCTTCAGTTTAGTAAGAGTAAAACCACAGTTAAGCATAGCAGTAAATGTATATATATATAACATGAATTCTGTATGTAATTTCCATTTTTTTGTGATGTTTTCTCAGCATAATCTTATAATTCTAAAAATGGAAAATTGTGCCTGTTTTTTGTCTGATACTTACCAGTGTAATTTATTACTGAAAAATAAAAGGGAAAACCTGCATATTTCATCATCCAGAGAGTACGGACAAATCTTGTTTCTCATAGGAGCTAGGGCAGTTACACATTTCTAAAAATTGCGCAAACACAAAATAAAATTTCTTTTTACTCTGCCACTAACAGATGAGCACACCAGGCAATACACCATAAGAAAATAAATGACAGTCAGTGATACTTATGATAATTAGTGTACTTTTGCTAATGCATCTGAACATCTCTCAGAATTTTGAGTGAAGTGGAGCATTCACGTTTTACTGGTGAAGCTAAGTAGTAGATTTTTCAATGGCTACAACTGTTACTGCAACCCTCACTCAAATTAAAGGAGGTTAGATTTCTAACTGATGCACCTTTAAAAATCAAATTTCAGTTACCTGGGAAAGGTTATACGCAAAGTCTGTCTTGCTGGAGAAAGTAAAGCATATCTTGAGATCACACTTGTGTCCATTTGTAGCATGTTGTGTCTGTATTTCTGCATTCTGACTGAAAGAATTCTGTTACTGTAATATTTTTTTTTCTCCTCCTTCAGGTCTCATGGAAACCTCCTCTGATACAGAATGGTGAAATCCTTAACTATGAGATTCGCATGCCTGATCCACGAATTGTCATTACTGGGAATACTTCATCAATGTTAAGTCATTTGGTGACTAATCTTATACCCTATACAAACTACTCGATCACTGTAATAGCTTGTTCTGGAGGTGATGGCTTTCTAGGAGGCTGCACAGAGAGTTTGCCTACCAGCGTGACTACACCTTCAACAGTTCCTCAGGGTGTTAGTCCATTGTCTGTGACTCCAATCAGCGAGTCCTTTATTGCCATTTCTTGGCAACCACCGCTAAGGCCGAATGGTCCTCATCTGAGGTAAGCTTTTAGTTGCAACTGAGATGGCAGTTTTCTTCTCCTTACCTAAATCTGACTCAGAAAATTCTGGGTGATGGAAACTTTATGATGTGGTATCTTCATTTCTGACCTTTTGAAGTTCCTCTTTAGTGGACTCATGGAAAGTGGGTATATCTAGAAGCAGATAGCAGGGTGAGCTTTGAATTGTTTTGAACTTGTGAGGAGTCAGGATTATTTAAAGCAAGTGTGGTGTCTGTACCGTGGCATTTACTTTGCAGAACACATTCGGGAAGGCTCTGGGTCTTTCAGATCAGTGCTGTCTGGAGAGCCAGAAGGAGGAAGCACAGGATATTTGCAAAGTCGTAACTGGTTTGGGCTGCAGCATCAGCCATGTTTTGGTGGTCGGTTCAGGCAACATGTTCCACCAACAAAATGGCAAGAAAAGTATGAGATCTCTGTGAACGTAAATATTTAACACACCCAATATTCTCAATACTCTGTGGGGATTATTCTACATAAAGAGAAAGTGACCATGGTAGTGTGATGACATGAAATAAGCTTCAAAACTTAACTGATTAATAAATTGGAAATGAGAGAGTGTGTGAGAAAAATGGAAGTTAAAATGCCACAAGTTTGGTGGCAGAACCAAAAATGGGAAATGCAAGGAAGTGCTGGGTATAGCTGGCTGGATTTCACCACAGGAACTAGAGAAAGGCGTCTCTTCTGAGATTTGTCTAGAATGATGGGATGGGGGATCTTGACTTGAATCTGTTGATTACTGAGTGTGTGTGTGTATATACATAAAAAAATTATGTATTTGAGTGCATGAAGTTTTATAAAGACAAATCTTTATACATACACAACAAAAAAAAGTCAAACAAATCTTTCATTCTAGTGCTTTAACATATTGGGAAACATAGTGCATGGAATTATATCTCTGTACTCCATATGTTCTGGTTAGTAGCTCTCTTCTAGGTGCACTGATGGGTTCAATAATTATCATGTAATGCCATTTCAGTTGCGTATGTTATTACAGCACAGTAGCTTGACTCTTTCTTCAGGCTTAATTAGCACACACTGCAACTGAATGAAATTATGATTGCTCTACAGTAAAATTTGAAGTTTTTGAAAAGCAGTCTCTGTTATTCTGGGGTTAACAACATGACCATTTTACCATAGATTATTGAAGTAATTCAGCACAACCTACATCTGCAGACTTCATTTCTTTCATGGTGTGCCATGCTGCCCTCAACAAGAACAACCACTGAAGCAGCTGCTCTGTACAGCATGATGGAGCAAGAAGTCTGCAGCAAGCAGAGTAGCAGCAGCAGCTGCCAGTGGGGGTGATTTACACATGATCACCATTCATGAAATATATTGGACAGAATATGCCAGGACTGTTCCTAATAAAACTGTAATGATCTGTCTTTGGGTTCTGTTGACACTGATGAACCACTCATGTGAGAGTTGTTCTTGGGGTATAAAGTAATCTGAACGCTTTGATAGAGTTGGAGTTTAATTAGTTTTTACTATTTAATTTCTGAGGTTATACTCCCAACTTCTGCAGTAATTTGGTTTGGCATCACTAAAGTCAGTGGCACAATACTTGTTTGTACCTGTTGAGGATTATTCCCCAAAGTCAATGGCAAAAGTTGTTGGAAGTCACACCCGTACATCCTAGCTGCCATGGAGCATAGGAAGTCTCAGCTCTCTTGTAAGAGAGCTTCTCAGTTGATTTCTGGTTTTGAAGCAATGCAAAATCACTGTATGCAGTACCTATTAAATACCATCTTAATTCAGGGTCTGAAATCTGGTATGGTATTGTCCAACATTTCCTCATCAGACTGGAGATGATCTTAACCTAAAAAAGATAAGCGTCAAATTACACATGAAGCCAGTGGTCAGAAAGATCATTGCAATGGGGTGGTGACCCACAGCAAGGCATTCTGCAGAATGCTTAAACACAGAAGGAAACTTTTTCACAAATAAGTGCCTAAAGTGAAAGTCTTTAAGGTCTGCCTGAGTATCCACATACTTTTGGCTGGAATTTAACAGTAGCACCTTTCCAAAATGGGGGGCAGGGAAAGGATGATGGGCAGCAGCTCAGCACTTTAGAGAAACAAGTTGTGTATTTAAGTGAATATATATGTATATGACCCTACTTTGCTGGACATCAGTGGAAACTCTATTGCAACTATAGTTTGATTAAAACTGCAGCTCACCATTGAAAGCAATTCCAGAGTGGTTCTATAACTGGTAAGAAGCATACAAACATCTGGTCTCTTAAAAAAGAACCATCAAACTGAAACAAAAGTCCTATTAAAAAACTCCTGTGAAATGTAGTAAAGAATAATAATCCTAAAGATTTGGAACAACTCTATATAATTTTGTTTCATTTAGAAACAAATAGAACAAACAAACATAGAACAATCATTCTATGTAATCCATGGAATGATTAGGAAATGCAAAATATGTTATCCCCTTTAGTTTGTGTAGACATGAAGTGATTTAATCTTTGATAAATTCCATAAAGGTTTTGTGTAAAAGATGGCGAAGGGTGAGTGATGCAGAACGGGTGGAAGGCATGCTGTCCTAATCAGGCAGTCTCATGGCTGACCTGCTGAAAGATGGGCTTTAGCTGACCTGCTGTTTGGAACAGAGACAAGAATACAGCTTCAGATACCAATTAAAACCAGGATGAAATAGTTTGGTCTTTCAAGCTCACATCATGAGTGTCTACCCAAATACAAAGGTGCCTTGTTAAGGTCTACAGATGGAACAGTTAACTCATTCTACGCCTGTTTGTCACCTGTATTTTACACTGTGGTTATTTGCGAACACACGTTAAACACAAATGAACACTTAAGTTGCTACTACCAGTAAACTAGTAATAGCAATGCTATGTTTCAGCACATTTGCAAGAGAGAGACATTGTTATTTCGTATTCTGTAGCAGTCTGTGCATATCAGATGGCATCAGTCAAGTCTCTATGAGACACTGTTACTGGGCTATTTGGACTTGATCGTCATAGCATTTCCACAAGTTTAAAATCTGTAAATCATTAAATAAACTCATTCTTTCAAATGGAAGTGCTTAATTTTCCATTTTCAAAGTAGTTTTTTTAAGTAATTGAATGCTCTAAATCATGAAACATTAAAAAGAATGTTTATCTCAGAAAGTTTACAGCTGTAAAAACAAAATAATGTGTGGCTTTAAAAAAAAAAAACTGATTTTTT